AACTCATACAGGAGAGAAGCCCTATGAATGTGAACAATGTAATAAAATGTTCTCCTGGAAGTCACAGCTTACTATGCATAATAGAAGTCATACAGGAGAGAAGCCCTATGAATGTGAACAATGTAAGAAAAGGTTCTCCTGGAAGTCTCTTCTTACTCTGCACAGTAGAACTCATACTGGAGAGAAGCCCTATGAATGTGAACAATGTAGGAAAATGTTCTCCCGGAAGTCAGATCTCACTCAGCATTGGAGAACGCACACAGGAGAAAAACCCTATGAATGTGAACAGTGCAATAAAATGTTCTCCCGGAAATCAAGTCTCACTAGGCATCGGACAATGCACACAGGAGAAAAACCCTTTGAATGCGAGGGATGTCATAAAACATTCTCTAGCAAGGAGTACCTCGCTGTACATAAGAGAACTCACACAGGAGAGAAGCTCTATGAATGTGAACAATGTAGGAAAATGTTCTCCCGGAAGTCACAGCTCACTGTGCATAGTAGAACTCATACAGGAGAGAAGCCCTATGAATGTGAACAATGTAATAAAATGTTCTCCTTTAAGTCACACCTTACTATGCATAGTAGAACTCATACAGGAGAGAAGCCCTATGAATGTAAACAGTGTAGGAAAATGTTCTCCCTGAAGTCACAACTTGCTGTGCATAGTAGAACTCATACAGGAGAGAAGCCCTATGAATGTGAACAATGTAGGAAAATGTTCTCCCAGAAGTCACATCTCACTAAGCATCAGAAAATGCACATAAGAGAAAAATACTTTGAATGTGAATGATGTGGGAAAACATTCTCCAGCAAGGAGTACCTCGCTGTACATAAGAGAAATCACACAGGAGAGATGTAGGAAAATGTTCTCCCAGAAGTCACAGCTCACTGTGCATAGTAGAACTCATACAGGAGAGAAGCCCTATGAATGAAAAATGTAATAAAATGTTCTCCTGGAAGTCACAGCTTACTGGGCAAAGTAGAATTCATACAGGAGAGAAGCCCTATGAATGTAAACAATGTAGGAAAATGTTCTCCTGGAAGTCACAACTTACTCTGCATAGTAGAAGTCATACAAGAGAGAAACCCTATGAACAGGAACAGTGTAGGAAAATGTTCTCCAGGAAGTCATATCTCACTAAGCATTGGAGAACACACACAGGAGAGAAGCCCTATGAATGTGAACGTTGTAGGAAAATGTTTGCCTGGAAGTCTGCACTTACTGTACATCAGAGAACTCAACACAGGAGAGCAACCCTATGATTGTGAACAATGTAATACAACTTTTTCCAAAAAGTCACATCTTACTGTATGTCTCAGTACTTACAATGGAAAGAAACAATGTAGGCAACATTTTACTACTGGAAGTCAGGGCTCATTGTACATTAGAGGACTCCCATACAAGTGCAACCTTATGAATGTGAAGAATATAGAATTTTTTCTCTTAAAAACTATAGTAAGCATCTGAAAAGTCACACTGGAGAGAAACTTCGTGAATGTAGGGAGCATAGAAAGGCATTTATAAATCAGTCCTCAATGTACATCAAGAAATTCACAAAAGAAAAAGCCTGTGAATGTCAATGTACCAATAGAAAATTTTCCATCTAATTTAAGTCAGTCCTTATTGTATATCAGAGATCACAGGAGTAAATCCTATAAATGGGAATGTTGTAGAAAAATGTGTTCAGAGTAATCATTCCATGTTTTACATGAGAGCATTCACAAGGAAGAGAAATCCTTTATGTGTGGGTACTGTAATAAAACCTTCTTGAAGAAGCCCCAACTTACTGTGGATCAGAGAACTCTCAGATCAGAAATCAAATGAATGTGAAAAATTAGGAAATCTTTTTATTAGAATTAAAAGGTTACCATACATCAGTAAACTCAAATGGGTCAAAATCCTCAGTAATGTAAGCTGTGGTATAAATCCTTGAAATATTCAGAAATATCAATTGATCTGTAAAGGTAATAACATTGAACTTTCAAATTCAACTTTGATTCAGCAAGTCACAGTAGTAAAAATTAATGATATCAGAAAATTTGGGGATGATAACTGTCTACAAAAAGAACGTTTCAGAAGGCTGTTGAATAAGATCTAAAAGTTTCCCAACTACAGGAGTAATATGCGTATTTTGGCAAGTATATATAGTATTTAAAGTGTGATTTTTGCTATAAGGAATATGTGCTCTCTGAAAAGACAGAGTCAGAGTGATAGAAAGCATGAAACCACCCCTTGGGGGGATGGCCACACCAAAATCCCATCTTTTCCATTGTGCTCTCGGGATCTTGGGCACACATGTACACACACTGGCTTGAGTTATAAGTCTGTGACTCGGGGACTTGAACTGCATTCAAATATATGGGAGGCCAGTGGCATAACTATTACAACATCAGTTGGCCCTACCATAAGTTTATTTCTGTGTCCCATGTTTGATGTTTAAAGATGCAACAGAATATAACCACTGATTTTGGCAAAAATAAATATAGAAATTTTTCTAGCTTCCACTTTCATGGCAGGCAAGACAACAGAAAAAGTACTTCAAAGCATAGTGGAAACTGAAAGATTATAGGCCATATAAACATTGAAAATGGTTATAGGTACTAGAGACAATGTGGGAAGAGAACAGGAGAAAGGGGACAATGTAAAGAAAGTAGTTATGGACAAAAATAGTCAGATATTTGGGGGATATAGAAATGGATTATAATATGTTGATAATAATGTGTTTCGTATCCTCAACTGCTCTGGTGGGAAGTTTATTCATTTTGGATAAGTTCATCTTATAAGCTAAGAGATGTTAAAGTGTATAAAATAAATTAAAATTAAAAATAAATAAAATGTACCATAAATGCCTAACAAAATAAAACAAAAAATTCTAAGACATTTCAGAGCCTGGGAACTACTCATATGTACTGAGAGGGCTCTGCAAGTGTACCTCTGGTGAAATGTCCAAGTTTACTTTGATAATGGGACTGATCTAGCTTGGACAGGAGGCATGTGAAAGTTCTGGGTGTGTTGAGGCACAACATAGCCCTGGGTGGTTATAAAATTTCCAAGGTTCTCTTTGGATGTTGATCACAGCTTTTGTGGCCAGCGTTAGCCAAGAGGTTCTGAGGCAGAACACCCACTGGTCCAGAAATGCAACTCAAGGTGAATTGGTATTGGGCTGGTTTTGGTTTTGGTTTGCCCAACATCATGACCCAGGTAGAGACCAAACTGTGGTGGGTGGGTTGTAAGGTAGTTGCTCAGTGGTGACAGGAACAGACTGATGGAATTCACTATGAGGTATAATGTGAAAAGTGAGATGGCCAGATTTACTGTGTGCACTCACATTGTTTAGCAAACATTACTGCTCTTTGTATGACTCTTTCCATCTGGTAAAACTGACTGGAGTGGTAGCACAGTAATATGTACATATCAAACAGTACTAAATTGTATATACTTGGATATGTTTAAAATGTGTCAAAGTTTTGTCTTGGTCAGGCTTTAGTCAGGCCTCTCAATCTTTTAGTTTCCTCTGCATACTTACTTATAAAATCCCTTTTGATCAAATAACCCTGCTAAAGTAGTTTAGCAAGAAGCCCCACACTAAATATCAGATTATTTTAAATAAGTGATTAGGTGTGATTTCTGATCATCCTGTGTCCTCAGCAAGAATCCCATGATTTCAGACTCTCTCATATTCCTAATGTTTCATTAGTCATTTTCCATCTGTTAATCACCACACAGCTCCTCAACTATTAATTTCCACTGCCCATTCTAAATTTGAAGTTGAGCCCAGTTTCTCTTCTCCAGTGACATTCATTTCCGTGGACCATAAGCTTACGATGATGGTACAAAATAAAGCTTTTCTTACTCCACTTTAACCAATGTCTTTGAATCAATTTCTTTAAATAGATTTCAAACATTTTTGGACTGTTTTCCACACTAAAAACAGTCTTGGGATGTTCAGAATAGTAACAATAAGTACAGAAAGAATGATGGTTTGCCAGAGGCTCGGTCAGGTGGGAAGAATGCAAAGACTTGACATTATTGTATAATAATAGCTGTTGATTGTTTAGTCTTACAAGATGAAAGGACTCATGAAGATGCATGGCGGTGATGGTCCTAGAACCTTGAGAGGAAAGATGATAAATTCTATGTAGTATATATTTTATAAAAATAAATTTAAAAATACTAAAAACACCAGTATATAAACTATATATAATCCATAGTGCTTGTTGAAGGGATACATATAGTGACAAAATAATGATCAATGTTATTCCAGTAACCAGTTAAGACCTGAATCAATTATGGCCCATCTGTGCTAAAGTAGAAAAAAAATACTGATGTCTTAGTATTAGCAGAATGTTCCCAGAATAAATTGTTCCTAGAATGAGAACATGTGCCTGAGACAATGACTATTGTCCCGCTATTTCCTCATCTTCTCCCTCACCATCTTCTCAGGGTACATATTTACCTGATAGACTTCCCATCTTCTAAATTTGTTGATTTTTGAAAAGGTTTTTAAAGCTTCTACAAAAGGCCGATAACAGAATAAATTTTATCCCAAAATATTTTGTGATCTTGTCCACCTTTCCCGAGAGACCAAATCATGCTTCACTGGTACATCATTTTCAGTAGACTGGAGGTCTAGCATGTGCCTTGAGAAAAACTTCAGCATATTTTAACTATAAACCAAACTCTTAGTTTTGAAATTTGAAAGATCCATAATGTGGTATCTCCATCTGAAAGTTAAGTCAGTTTTTCTCCCTGTCCTGAAAAGTGTCCCTAGGAAACTAAGAACCATTTAGGATTGCTTGAGAGGTTTCTCTCATGATATAAAGCAGTCTTAAACTCATTAGAAAATTTTAGAAAATGTTTTGCTCAGCCAGGAAAAATACTCAAGAGACCTATCACTTGATAGTCTGAGCACTCTACTGCCACCTAGTGTCTAGAATTTTCAGACACTAAAAGGATTGAATATACTCAAGGTTTTAAACCTTGAGCAATAACCATGGTCAGTATACTTTGACTTGGTAGACTTTTGAATTTTTGGTCCCTTTTGAAAAAGGTTTTAAGTTGTGAGAAGTCACTCATCATAAGCAGCTTCCTTTAAGGGACAGCCCTCTTAGAAACATCACCTGGTTTTGTGTGTGAGGCCTTTGTTATCCCACCTTGCAAGTACTGAGGAAAACGGGCCCACACAAGTTAGTGACCCCACTCTTCGTTGACAAAAATTGGAGTCCTTTGAAATTTCTAAATAGCATGTTCATATGCATAATTGGGAAAAGCTGGTTATAGAATCAGGCAAAATGAATGGGAAAGTTACTTACAATGATATGTAGAAGCTACCTCAGATACAGTGGAACCACTTCTTTTTCAGGAGGTAAATAGTTTCCAGAATCCATTTTGGTATTAAAATTTCAGAGAGCTGTTCTACTCCAACCACTCTTCCACTATCTCTCTCACACTTCTTCATGCTCTTCTGTATAATCCTTAACTCTTCTCTTTAACCTCTATCTCCATCCCCACTGAAGATAATACAACAGATTCCAGGTGTAAGCAGTTGTAACTGTAACCACCCTAGTTTGGCTACCCTCTGATGTAAAGCCTGTAACAAAGCAATATTAGCCTTAATATACAACCTATGAACCAAAACTGATGTTGTAAATGATTTTTCAGACCCAACTGAGGTCCCCATATGTGTTGCTAGGAAATTTGATTTAAATGTGTAAACTTGTGAGCCTACATATTGAGACCTTTATCAGCTGACTCCAGTTAGTTCCAAGAGAGTGTCCCAGAATGGATAAAATTGTTTTTTTGAAACTGAGGTATAGATTTTAATTTAGAACCCAGGAGAATGATAACAAGTCTGCCTCTTAAGAAAAGTTCTTGATGCAGCTAT